GCAGCGCTGCTGGGTGTATGCTCGGCTGTTATGCGATTTTGCTGTTATGCGATTTTACCACACTCGCAAAATCGCACACAGCCGACCATATAACAAACTCTGTATTTTGAGTGGAAATGTTAGGGGGTTGTCTTATACGCCGAGTCGTCTTATACGCCGGCAAATACGGTACTTTTTGGGTGTTCATTTTTAGTATCTTTAATTTTGGGGGGGGGTCATATTTTATTGATGAAGATATGTCACTAGAACATTTTCAAATAATAATTATTTTCCAGGTAACATCTATTGTATTTTATTCCTATCAATAATAAGATGTATTCAAGATAACATTATATTGCCATTTCTACTTTCAATTTACTGTTTTCCCTTCCACATGAAGAGCTATATAGCTACTAAAAGGACATTCAAATTTCACTTAAAGTTAGAAACAAAAGCACAAACAGGATTTTATCAGCTAAACAAATGCATTTTCTAAAGTAAGTCTTCCTGTTGAAAACAACTACTATCAATTAAATAAATGTCATTAGGTAACTAATCAAAACTTTACCTCTAATATCTGGTCAGAAACATAAGTGTGTTTTATTATTATTATTATTAAGCAAAGGTTTAAGAGCATTTGCTTTTAAAAAGAACTAACCATATTATGGTTTTTACTAAATATAATAAGCGAAGATATAGTGTTTTTTAAATAATCTATTTGTTAGGTTGCTTTGATCTGGAGACTTGTTCTGGTGATTTAGTAAAATTATTGAGTTAGTTCTACTTTGGGCAAGGGGATATTTATTTGCTTAGCTTAAGTTAGTTAGGCTTAATGAATTTGAGTTATTCTTTTCATATACATTTTTAAACTGTTATTTTTCAATAAATAGGGCCTACAGGTCTTTTACTCACTGGGAACAGATTTTTACACAGAGCACACACATTTACTGGCAATTATTTACTTACATAGTATACATGAAAATATATTCATATATGTTACTCTTAATATTGTGTATATAAACAATATATTTCTACTTAAAGCATTGGGAATAAGATGCATAAATATGTACATGCCTATCATAAACTTATACACACACTAACATATCACATAACGTCATTTTCATGGACCAAACTTAATCTGTTTAAGGTAGAATAAGAAGGGTCAGCAAAACTAAGCATTACTCCCTGGTTTTCTGATGGCCTGTGAAAAATCTGGGGGAAGGAGAGGTCAAACCTCCCTACTGCTGTACTTATAATCTTCTTTTCCTTTTTATTTTATTTATTTATTTATTTAAAAAACATTTTTTTTTTTTTTTAGCTGAGCCATCCTGCCACCTGTTGGCAGCTCAGCTCGGGCCAGGCATCGAACCACTGTTGCTCAGAACTCAAACTCTTGAGTGAACTCTTAACCAACTGAGCCACTCGGCTGGCCCGTTTCTTTCCTTTTTTAAATTGGAAGCTCATAGGACTGTATGTGCATTAATTAAACGAATGACTTTTGGATCCAGAAAATATTGTGTAATAAATATAAACATTTTATTTTGGTAATAATTTTAACATATAGGTTAGTTTCATTCAAAAAAACTTTGAGGCATGAAGATTTTAGTTATTTCAATATATTATTCCACATGTTATGTATATAAACGTCCCATTGCAAATTGAGGCAGAGAACAATATTTTATTTTTGAGGGCTTTCCAAACCCTTCAAGTTCCAAGTAGACCCTGTAGTCTAGGCTTCTGACATACATATATGCTCTATTGCTGTTGCTGAAGGATACAGTGCCACTAGGAGTCATTTTGGGGGGGGGGAGAATGGAGGGATTTTAGTTCAGTGATTCTGGAAGTGTGGTCTAATTACACTCTTCCGAAGAGTTTGTTAAAAATGCACATTCCTTGCTGGCCAAGTGGCTCAGTTGGTTAAGAGCTCACTCAAGAGTGCAAGCTCTGAGCAACAGGGTCGCCGGTTTGATTCCCAGCCCGAGCTGAGAGCAGCAGCTCAGCTGCCAGCAGGTGGCAGGATGGCTCAGCTTAAAAAAAAAATGCACATTCCTTGAGCAAATAGATTTCTGGACTAATCTGACAACTAGCCTCCCTCCCACTCACCAACTCACCGATGGGAAAATGTGTTCCCACACAACAATCAAAATGCATGCACAATTTTGAAACTTTGTGTTTTGGTTTACTCATATTTAGGCATCAATAAAAAGGATTATATTTTTACATCTTCTACAACAACTACATTTATTGTTTTCAAAGCCTTGTCAGAGTTTCATACAAAAATAAATCACTCTAAAAATAGTTAATATTCTAAAAAAGAATGACGTTTACAACAATCCTTGCACATATATTTGTATAGTCACAAGTTGTATTATTTCCTACATTTGAGATACATAACATGGAGCACTTCAAGGTGTATCATGTAGTATATATTCAATAAAGTCTCTTGGTCCTAAAGCTGCCTTGGATTTGTTGGATAAATAAGATGCCTGTTTAAAAACATTATATGTCAATCATCTGAGCAAGAGTCTTTTCATAATATGCAAGTTGTAAAGATGATATGGTAAAGCTTATAGAATGAATCATCAACTGAGATGGGAAAGACCTCAACAGAATCTCAAATTATGTGAGAAGCTCAGTGCAATGTCTTTAATTTCGAGGGAAAGAAAAACTTCCAAAATCAATTTAACCACGTCTGTTCCGAATGCTCAAATCTTGTGCTTTTTTTCTTTTTACTTTTTTCATAAGTCACAGACTAGTCAAGATCCTAAAATGCTCTTCTAATAAAGATTATTCAATCCATTAGCTTAACAATGGTATCATTTGGTGCTGTAAATCTGCTCTTCTTGATTTTGTCCTAAATGGAGAGTATTTCCATACACAGGACCCCTAACAGATTGCAAAGGGGTTAGCCCTCCTGCATGCCTTTTCTAGAAAACATTCTGCAGCTCCGTTTAGACAGTTAGCAGAAGGCCTGGGAATGAATATTTGGTAAAACATTCCAAGTTGGTAACAATCCCCTCCTGTAAAACTTCTGTTTCGTTATTGGGAGTATGAACAGTGAGAAAAATTGCTTTAATAAGATGCTTTTGATAATAGATTTGTTGGAAAAGGTTTTGATTTTTGAAAACAACCAATATAATATTATCCAAAACTGGTCTGTTTCAATTTCTGAGGTTATTCTTTTTGTATGGAATAAATGGAACCTTATGTTTATTATGTCTTTTTTCCCCTGGTATGTTCATATGATTGCAAATTATTCCTTCACAGAATTGTAGTATCTAAAACAGAATTGTGCTATTTTGTTTGTTTTGTTAAGCCATTTCTCCCTAGAAAAAAAGGTGTTCATGACATTTTTTCATTGCTCTTTTTCTTTCTACTCTCGTCAGATCAGTATGCGTTCTGTCGATATATGATTGACATGTTTGTCCATGGAGATTTAAAACCAGGTATTCCAAACAATTCTTGTACTTGTCTATTTTAATAGTCTTTGTTTCTAAGATTGTCAGCTTTTTTATGTACTAAACTGTATTTTCTTTTTAAAAAAATTGCATAATGCATGTGTAGATCTAGAATAAAACCAATAAAAAGTAAAAGCAATAACTCGCATTAGGGCCTTTAATTTTACTTTCTATTATTGCATGGCCTATTGCAAGCTAAGTCAGCTGAAAGCTAAAAAATTGCTAATATCTTTATATACAAAAAATACTAATATCTTTAATAATATCTTGAAGTAAAGAGGTGAATCATCTTATTTTATTCCTGGCAAACTTCAAAGAAAAGACCTATGACAATGAAAATATCCTTTTGAATTTTTTTTGGTAGTGAGCAAAATTCATATTAAAATTCATCACATTTCTTTCTTTTTTTTTTTTTGTTCAAAACAGTTTGGTTTTCTCACTTACATATGAACTTAAGTTAGTCACTCCAGGCACTATGAATGGAGATAATCACCCTTGGAGTTAATAGTCAACAGAATGAGGAAGTATTTTTACTTAAAGGAATTTATCATCTCTCCTATTTTTCATTATTGCCCAGAGTGTAACAGGAGATTCTTTACTAACATCTTGATTAAGAATGAGCAACTTGGTTGCTTGTAACTATACCTTTTACAGATTGAAAAACTGGTGGTACTAACTGTGGTACTATATTCATGTTTGGGGAAGCATTTCTAAGAAGTTGGTATTGTTCAGGAAGGAGCTAATTTACATTAGAATAATTGAAGCTGATTGTTTAAAGAAAATTATATGTTTTCTCAATTATTTTATGAAAATATTTCTAAAATGTATCATTATAACCTATGCATGTATTGGCAAACAGTCTTATCATATCTAAAACAAGTATATAAGACACCTAGGTCCTAGAAAATTGGAACATCATGGAAGCTCTCAGGAAAAGTTAATTAATTCTGGTAACTTATCCAGGTTGATCTCCTTCCCCTTCTTCTCTTCATTTTCTTCTTCTTTTTCTTTTTTAATGAGTTAGAAATGGAGAGGAAAAACCGTAAAAAATATGACTCACTCAGTAAAAATGTTTGTTAATCTATATGTAGAGTATCATAGTAAAATTAGGTGAAAACATTTAGGAAGACAGTTTGAAATAGTGAAAAGAGAGGGCTTTGGACAAAAATACAGATAGAATTCTTGACTCCTTCCTTTTCTAACATTGATCCTTGAGCAAACCGTTGAACGCCATCTGATCTTCAGTGTTTTCACATTTAGAATGGGGATCACAGTCACAGCCTTGCAAAATTGTTGACAAAGCATCTAGTATATGCACAACAAAATGCTACCATAACTTTATTCTTGAACTCATTCATTTCACCACAGCCTGTCTGAGTGAGCATACCATGTAGAGGGCACTTCTCAACATTGACAAGTCCCAGTCTATATGGTAATTACATAATGTATATGTATAATTACATAATTCAATTTTAGATAACAGGTTTGCTACCTGTTTTGTTCAGCTGTGATGGTTTAAGGAAGTTATATTCTACATTTATTTTGCCTTTATAAGAACTGTTTACTTGTATACAGGATGAATTTATATTATTGGTGAGCAAAAATTTTAAATTCCATTATCTGAAAACAAAGTGTTCTTTGTGCCACCTAAATTATTTACAATAGCTACTAATTTATCATAAAATATAATTTCTAAGAAAATCATAGGACACAGAGACTACGCACTGTCAAAGTCAGTTAGGGATGCTAACAGTTTAATAGTCACAATGCCAATCATTGCTTTCTGAAAAGTCAATAATAGATTAAGGTAGAAGGAACAGTAAAACCATCTCTGCAGGAGTTAAGGAGAATTCTGCTATGAACCATACAGGGCGAGCATTTCTAAAGTCATATGTGAACATTCTCTAAACAGCTGTGAGTTCGGATCTATCTCACTATGTAACATCTTAACTCCTGAAAATAATTCCAAAGTGATATAGGATTAGATTTCCTAATACCATTTATTGACTTTCCAATTACCTTCTTAATTTATTTCATCCAGCTACATTCATGATTTTGAAAGTGTGTTGCTATAATCTATAAGAAATTAAAGAATATGTAGATCAACATTTCTTGTCTGGGAGTAGGATAGGAGGAGAAAGGCAGAAACTGGAGAAAGGTAACCTCTGTAGTATGCCTGTTGTTTCATGTAACAAGACATATAAAGTTTCATAAATGTACAGAAGGAAAATTAATAACATTGTCTTTGTTGGTGAGACGATACATATGATAGAGTGAGAAAACACAAAATATGGCTTGCATTTTGAAAAATAAGAAATGAGGAACAAGATTTAATCTAGGCATATTAATTTAGAGAAAATACAAGTGATAAGACTTTGACTCTGACTGACAATTAGAGAATAAAGCAATTTCTGCCAAGTTTATTGCTCTGCATGTATCCAGTATTTATAAAACATTTGTGCTTCCATCTGTTTCTGTTTGGGATTAGTGGAACACCTGTTATTGTTTAGCTAGAGTTCATTATTAATTATTGGTAATGAGTTTTTAAAACTATAATTTGATTTTTCCCTCTGGGATAAAGAATTTCTTTTGTATAATATTATCATACCCTCAAAAATAGTCCAGGTTGCAGATCAAATTTGAAAAACCTTATTAATGAAATGTGCTGACACCCTGACATGTGGCAAGTTTTGCCTTTTTACCCCATTAAGTCAAATACTCCTAAGATAGCCTTAACATTTTTTTAGCTACGATTTTCTCTATATACTGAAGATTAACTGAATTGCTTTTTCTTGTTCCCTATAGTGACCATGCATTATTCTATGGTCGGCAACAATCCCAACCTCAATTACAAGGACCATTATTATAATAAGCCAGCATAAAGTGTAAGAATCAGGTCATTTTGTTGTATCTAATTAAAATTCTCCTGTCCCAACTACTCACTTTATATTAAATTGAAAATTTAAGAAATTTCTATTTAAACATAGAAAGTAGGTGTATGCTACTAAGGCTGGCTCTATGGGCAATTGGAATAGACATATATCTCAATGTGTAATTTTAAGAGTATTATGGACACTCAAGAGCTCCCTTATCCAGAAATAATTTCTCTGCTGCCTTCAGTGATCTAACAACCCCACCATTAGATGTCTTGATTCTGTAGCTGGTCAATGTTATAGGATGTGTTTGTTTTAAATAGCCCCTAACCTGTCTTAAGGGGGGGAGGGAGAGAGAGAGAGAGAGAGAGAGAGAGAGAGAGAGAGAGAGAGAGAGAGAGAGAGAGATCCTGTCCTCCTATGGTAACTGTCTTGAAGCTGATACTCCCACTTTTTCCTTTGGGTTAAAGTAGTGTAGTTGTCATTATCTTATGAGAGAAGTGTTAATACTGGTTAAGGCAAATATTAGTTGCAATACTGATACTTAATTTATGGTGTTTTACATTTTTTTAAAATTTATTTTT